GATGCATGATGAAAACTGAATTCAGAGACATGGACATCATTGTCTTTGGCAAGGGCAATTTCCATGGAGTGGTAAATGTGTAGGCCAGGCCAGGCACAGTGGCTCATGCCTGTAATCCCAGCATTTTGGGAGGCCAAGGCAGGTGGATCATTTGAGGCCCAGGGTTCCAGACCAGCCTGGTCAACATGATGAAATCCCCTCTCTACTAAAAATTTTCTTTTATAAAGTGAGCTGGGCGTGGTGGTATGTGCCTGTAATCCCAGCTACTCAGGAGACTGAGGCAGGAAAATCACTTGAACCCAGGAGGTTGAGGTTGCAGTGAGCCGAGATCACGCCACTGCACTGCAGCCTGGGCAATGAGCGAGAATCTGTCTCAAAAAAAAAAAAAAAAAAGTGCAAGCCAGACCAGAATGAGTTCAAGAGTAAACATAAGTAAAAAGTACAGCGAGAAGATGGAGAAAGGATGCTTATGTGTGAATTCTTAGCTTCAGGACAACAAAAAAAATTAATAAAGGTACAAATATTAGCAATCAAGGGGGCGGGGGTTAAGTAATATTATGTATGGGAAAGCACAGTACCATGGCTGGCAGAGTTGGGAGTGAAGCTGTGGTCACATTGCTCTCAGGACCAGTTTCTCCATGGGTGGCTTCAGACTTCTCTGTTCTCCCTCCCAAATGCACAGGAAGTTCTTATGGCAATTTCTTTCTCTACTCAAAGAAATCAACCTAAGTCAGAAAAAAGGCAAGGAACGATAACAGGAAACTAGAGCCAGTTTAATTAGTCACACATTAACAAACACAAATGACCAACACAAACATCAACAGCAAGAGTGAAAGATAATGCAGCAGCCGCAAGGGCAATAGTGTCTTGGAGTGGACAATTCTGCATTTGTGACCTTTAAAAAAATAATTTTGTATTTTCGTTTAAAAAAAATAGAGATACAAGGTTTCACCATGTTGCCCAGGTTGGTCTCAAACTCCTGAGCCCAAATGATCTGCCTGCCTTGGCCTCCCAAAGTGTTGGGATTACATGTGTGAGCCACTGCACCTGGTCCATTGTGACTTTTAACTAGCCCTTGGCTCTGGAAACTCTGTATTTAAGAAAGAAATAAAAATATACCTCAATGCATTTGGAACAATGTAACTCAGACCTTTTGGTCTTATTCTTGATATGGTTAATGTCATACATAAATAAAGCTGCCCTCGTTACAGTGGTGAAGACAGATTTCAGTGAGTAATAAACTATTGCAGTAGGGAAGAGGACCCAGCATGACCTGAAGTAGGAAATTGGCCTACTTATCTTACCTGCTACCTTTTCTTTTCCTTTGCCTTCTAATGATTTTTTTTCTTTTGTGACACAGCTTTGCTCTTGTTGCCCAGGCTGGAGTGCAATGGCACAATCTTAGCTCACCACAACTTCTGCCTCCCAGGTTCAGGTGATTCTCCTGTCTCAGCCTCCTGAATAGCTGGGATTACAGGCATGCACCACCATGCCCATATTTTTAGTAGAGACAGGGTTTCTCCATGTTGGTCAGGCTGGTCTTGAACTCCCAAGCTCAGGTGATCCGCCCACCTTGGCCTCCCAAAATGCTGGGGTTGCAGGCATGAGCCACCGTGCCCAGTCTCTAATGATTTTTTTCTACATTGGCAGAAGCTATCATGTTTATAATTTGCTCTAGAATCATAATCCCTGAAATTGTCTTAGATTTTATTATCAAATAGATTCAAAATGTACTACCCCTCTTTTTGTCATAATTTCTCCATTTATCATTTGTATGGCTTCTTCCTCTAGCAGCTTCTTCAAGAAAGCAGTTTCTTCAGGAAACCATATTCTGGGAGTACTTGCATGTTTAAACTTTTTTTAACACTCTTATTATAAACCTTCCTTTAAGTTTTCACCTTCAGGTACAGCACTCTCTTTCTTTCTCCTTTTCCTGACATTCCCATACATAGGGGTTTCCTCTGCCTCCTGGCTCGCAAAGTTCCCAAAGGGAGAATGTTAGCAGTGTTCTGAAGCCATAGACATTCCCAGTGTTACAGCCACTCACAGCAAAATACAAACGCCTAACTTCTTGCACCCAATTCAAAGATCCCTCAGCATTAGGAGGTAACAGTGAGCTCCAGGCTGCCCACGTGGGTCTCTTGCGACAGGTACTGCTGTTCCACAAATAGAAAGGGGAGTAATTTTAGAAATTTCCAGTGTTCTAGAAATTATCATATGGTTTAGAAAGCGAATGAAAGGAAGAAAATTAAAATGCTTCTGTCCATCTGTGCCTCCCTGTAATAGCCACATAGAAAGTGCAAGATCGAAGAGAGAGTGTGGGTAACAAACCCCAGGCACAACGTACCCCTGGTTACTAGGCTGTCCCTTCAAAGGGGGCTCAATCCAGGACCTCATCTTTTGGCATACCTAACAACTAAAACTAACTAGAGGAATTAAACGTGGTAAGCTGTAAATGGCCTAGAAATACAACGCAATTCCCTCACCTTTCGTACGCTTTCACTAGAGGGTTAGATTTTACCATGAGAACGCAGTTATGGTGGTGGGGTGTTAAGTGTGCAAAGATATTTAGTGATGTAAGTTGCTAAATAAATGTAAAAAAAAAATGGGCTAAGACATGGTCTGGGGCCCCATATCCCAGCCCCATGACTCTAATTTGAAAAGAATAAGAAAAACAGTCGTCTTAATGGTCATTTTCCAGGTACCAATCAATATCCACAATAACCCCATTAATTCTGTTGGAAATCCTCAAATGGGAGATATTGTTCTTCCAGAGAATACTAAAAGGCCAAGGTGTATACTCTTCTGGGGGCAAAATAAGATCATTACACAGGGAAAAACTAAACCACAGGTGCTCTTGTTGCCATTAAAGGAGTGCCCACTCTATCCCTCAACACACACACACACACACACACACACACATATACACACACACACACACACCCCTTTCACTTAACTTTCCAAGATAGGATCCATCCCTGTGTTCCACCAGTAATTTTCAGATCCTACCACCAGATGGCAGGAGGAATCAACGTCAAGAAGCTGAATCTCCGAATAGAACTAGAAAATGTCAGGATTCCGGAAGGATTCACAAGAACTCCAAATCCAAACTGTGTTGTATGAATGAGGGAGTTGAAGCTTGGGAGACTGTGACCTGCTCAGTAAGGACCCTAAGGACTAGCCCCTCAGTGACCTGTGTCCTGTTACTCCACCAACTCATGCTTGATTTTATTTTTAACTTATTAAGGAAAATTTTAGCATCCACCAAAGTAGGAGAATAATAAAATGATTTTCTAGATACCTGCCAGCCAATTTCAGCAATTAGCAACATCCTGACATCTTCCCATACTATATATACTTTTTCCCATGCTGTATTATTACTATTATTATTTTGAGACTGAGTCTCACTCTATCACCCAAGCTCACTGCAACCTCTGCCTCCTGGGTTCAAGCACTTCTCCTGCCTCAGCCTCTCAAGTAGCTGGAATCATAGGTGAGTGACACCACGACAGCTAATTTTTGTATTTTTAGTAGAGACGGGGGTTTCACCATATTGGCCAGGTTGGTCTCGAACTCCCAACCTCAGATGATCCACCCACCTCAGCCTCCCAAAGTGCTGGGATTACAGGCGTGAGCCACCACACCCAGCCCATGCTGTATTTTTATACCAAGGACCCAGGAGTACTACACTGCTGCGCTAAATCAACTTTAAAATCTCTGTGAGTCATTAATTCAAAAAATTGTTAGTGTCTGCTATGTGCAAAGAACTGTAGGATATAAGCAACTGTAACACAAAAGGAAGTACGGCACAGTACTTTGATGCATGAGTCATGTGTGCTGTAAGTTTTTTTCACGTTTATTCATTCTTGTGTTTCAGTAAGTGGAAAAATGCAATACAACTTGGAATTGCAATATTTGCTGGATTCCTGGGGCCAAAGATCTAAAGTTAAAATCAAAGTCATATACTTGGTCTTTAAAGACACAGTTATAGCCCTTGGGCTAACAGAAGGCATTTCCTGACCCTATTTATCCGTTACCTCACTCTAGAAAAGGGCACGTTGGAATGAGATGGGAGAAATATTAGATACCCTAAAAAAGATACAAGAGACAGAAAACAGGTCAGGTGTTTGTCGCTTCTGGAAACAGCAGCTGAGGGGTCAGGACAAGAGCAAACCTCATTCAGTTCCTAAAAGTAAAATCAAGACAGCCCCACCCACAAAAAAAGGGCATTTTTCTCATGATCATTACTACCGGAGATTGCTTTAAACAAATAAAACACATTTTAAAATTTCATGAACCTAACATCTGAGAATAAAGTTATCCAGAGTATGGTTTACCACATTTTATTTCATTTTATAAGTTGAAAATCTGTGTCATGTGATAGAAAGGAAAGTGGAAACCTGCCCCTGGTCCCAGCTCTGCCTATTGGAAAGTTATCTGGCCTAGATGAGGGCAATTGTCTTCATTCCTCTCTCTTCCTCTGGACCACCTTCGTATCAGAACAAAACAAAGCAAAAGTCATCCGTTTCTTTTCTTTTTTCTTTTTCTTTCTTTCTTTTTATTTTTTTCTGAGATAGAGTCTTGATCTGTCACCCAGGCTGGAGTGCAGTGGCAAGATCTCAGCTCACTGCAACCTCTGCCTCTGGGACTCAAGCAAGTCTCCCACATTAGCCTCCCAAGTAGCTGGAATTAAAGGCACACACCACCAAGCCCAGCTAATCTTTGTATTTTTAGTAAACATGGGTTTTTGCCCAGGCTGGTTTTCCCTCCCACTTCAGCCTCCCATAATGCTGGGATTACAGGAGAGAACCACTATGTCCATTCGATCATCTGTTTCTTTACGAACTCAGGATTTATCAGCTGTTTGTTGAATCAGATGCTTCTCCTGAACACCCGATCTTTGCCTCTCTCATCCTCCAAATTTCTCTAGGTATTACTCATGGAAGAACATCCATCTCTTGGTTCTAACTTTAATTTTGCAATCTACACTTTTTTCTTAGAATGAAGAAAATTTTCTTGAGAATGAGAATACATCAGGAAACAACAACTCGATAAGAAGCGGAGCTGCGCAAAGAGGCGAGCACACAAACACCAAACAGGTACGGCAGGACTGTGGTGTGTGACTCCAGTGCCATGGCAACCGCGGTGCAGCAGGCACCTGAGAACAGTGGGCACAGAAAGCATGGGAACAGATTAAGTGGTAATGAAAGTGTGTGGGCACAGTGGTAAAGAAAACACGCATGCCCAAACAGAGAGGTTTTGTTTTTATCCACCTGTCCTCAGAGTTCCCTAACGGGAAAAGCATACCCAGGTTTTCGCTGACACTTCACTATTAGGAGTTTCAAGCTTCATTTCAAGGAAAAAGGCATTGGATTAGACAAAACCACCTGAATTTTAAGGTAAATGATAGAAACAAGAGGAACGCTCTAATATGGTGCTAAAACTGTGTCTATCATGCCCTAGAATTCCTTAGTAGCTTTACACTGGTCTGAGGGACTCCTGCTTAATTTCACTTATCTGCTGAATTCTGGACAGGAGTTTATTTAAAGATGGCTTCCTGTTGCTAACAAGGTAAACAAATTACCCATGTAGGTCATCCCTTAAAAAGTAATTCAGGGCAGTGTGCGGGTGGCTCACGCCTGTAATCCCAGCACTTTGGGAGGCCAAAGCAGGTGGATCACTTAAAGTCAGGAGTTCGAGACCAGCCTGGCCAACATGGTGAAACCCCATCTCTACTAAAATACAAAAATTAGCTGGATGTGATGTTGGTCATTTGTAATCACAGCTACTCTGGAGGCTGAGGCAGGAGAATCCCTTGAACCCAGGAGGCAGAGGTTGCAGTGAGCCGAGATCACGTCACTGCACTCCAGCCTGGGAGACAGAGCGAGACTCTTTCTCTCTCTCTCTCTCTCTCACACACACACACACACACACAAAGTAATTTGGGGTGCCCACTAGTGTGTCATTTTGTGAGGTAAAAAAATCACTTTTTAAAGTAGAAAATTTGAAACAGTTATTGTAGCAAAATTTGGAAGACCAAAAAAGGCTCATAATTCAAGAAAAAGAGTCAGTGCTGAACATCTTGGAACACAGCTTTTTTTAATGCAAACATACGCCCACGGGCATATGTCATCTGTATTGGAATCATACCATGCATAGTACAGTGTTTGGTAACTGTCTATTTCGCTTAATTGATTACAAAAAATGCTCACTAAATATTCTTCAACAAACAAAAAAGAAAACAATGCTTATGTCCACATAAAAACCTACACATGGATGTTTAGAGCAGCTTTATTTGTAATTGCCAACACTTGGAAGCAACCAAAATTCAGTAGGTGAATGAATAAATAAACTGTGGTACATCCAGACATGCAGTGTCTTCCAGCACTAAAAAGAAATGAACTCTCAAGCCATGAAAAGACACAAAGGAACCTTAACTACGCATTACTAGGTGAAAGAAGGCAATCTAAAATGGCTATGTACTGTGTGATCCCAACTACACGACATTCTGGGAAATGCAAAACTATGGAGACAGCCAATAGTCAGGGCTTCCCAGGCACTGGGGGAGGTAGGGACAAATAAGAAGACTTTTAGAGCCGTGAAACTAGTGTGCCTGATACTACAATGGTGGACACATGTTATCGTACAAGTGTCCAAACCCATAGAATGTACAAGACCAGGAGCGAGTCTCACTGCAGATTTTGGGTGATGATGATGTCCATGTAGGCTCATCCATCGTAGCAAATGTACTTCTCTGGGTTCATTTGATAGTGGGGAAGGTGAGGGTGGGTAGACAATACATGATAAATCTCTATACTTTCAGCTCCATTTGGCTGTGAACTTAAACTGCTCTTTTAAAAATGTTTTTAAAATACTTTTTCAAAAAACAAAAATTTTAATATTTTACAATTATAAACGGGGATGTGAAGGCTGAGGAGTAGCTACTGGATTTGATAGCAATGGGCCTTGAGTGACCTTGGCAGGACCCATTCAGGAGAAGCTCAGTCACAGTGGGTAGAGACGTGGGCAGGATGTGAGGAAGTGACTTCCAAAGAGTAAATACAACTCTCTCCAGTGGCCTGGCTGTGAAAGGAAGGAGCGGGGCAGAGGTCCCATGACTGTGGGAGCCAAGTTGTTGTTTTTAAAAGGTGAGAAAAAATTGAAAAATAAAAGACAACAATAGTAATGTCAGACATCCCATAGATAGCAGGTCACTTGGGGTACTTTCACTGCAAGAAAATAATAATGATAATCATTTAAATCAAATAGTTACCAAACATTGACTATTGGCTAATCTGGGAATTAGATAGAAATAAATGAATAAGACTCATCCCCAGCCCCTCCTCAGTAGCTGCAGCTTGGACTCAGCTGGTCTCTCTTCCAATTATCCTCTCGCCTTCCTAGTTCCTGGGGTCCAGCCCAGAAAAGGAAGGTCATCTGAATAAGAAGAACAATGGAGTTTGGCCTTGAGCAATTATAGGATTTTTGAGAGTTTTTTCAGCTCAGACACACACTGATGATTAACGTCTGTGATTTCTGTTAAAGAGCATCAAAAGCCGCCCTGGGTATGACAGAAGACAAATGCTGCGATTTGACATTATGCCTCTTAGAGCACACTCAAACTGCTCCGCCCGCATCTATTTCCTCCCCTGCCTGCTTCTGTACCATTGGTTACAAGAGCCAGGCTTACTATTTGAGACATTATTAAAGACTGGAGACAGGTAGGAAATCCTCTGCCATCCTGGAAATAGGATGGGTCATGGATATTTGAGAACTCGAACTGTACCTAGAAAGATTGTCCATGAAAAAATGGGACAGAGATATTCCACACTCAATTATTTAGAGCAAGGGCTAGCTGAGTACGTGAAATAGACCCCTTTAGCCCAACTGATAAAAGGATCCTCATTCCCAAGGTGGATTTATTGGCTCTTGAAGGTACCAGGCTAGTGTTCATATCCACAGACCAAGCCTTGGGCTGCCAGGGGATTAAATCCAGATTTGGTTTCAGTCCTTTGGAAACCGGGGCTGGCCGAGTACTAAGGGAGATTTATGCAGCTTCTGGTATTAACTTCATTTAGCACTTGGCTGAAAACAGAGCTGGGGTTGAATAATTACAGGAGAGAGAGGAGCAAAAAGCACAAATAAGAGCCTGTTCCCTTAAGAAAAGGAGAAAATACCAACCGCTCCTTTGGAAAGAAAGGAAGAGATTCAATGTGATCCTCGGATTTTTTGTGTGAGATTGTAAGAGGGGGAGAAAAATGACTGTGCAGTAGAAAATAGGAGCCATTTTCTTGTATAATAATTTTAAAGGACCTATTGGAAGTTCTTTGCTAGAGTTCTGAGCAGTGAAACCAGGGTCCATTATGCCCAAGATGCTCATTATTCCATCTCTGCTCCAATGTTTTATTTCCAGGGCGAGGAACAGGTCACAGTTGAACCGGATTCTCCAAGAAACAAAGAAGACATGGAGGATGATGACGAGGAGATGCAGCCAAAAGGGTACAGTCTTTAAAACAGGGAAATAACCAGGCCTACCTCCCATTTGGTTTTATTACTTTGTTTTATCCCCATTTGAATTTTTTTTTTTTTTTAAACAGAGTCGCACTTTGTCACCCAGGCTGGAGTGCAGTCACACCCTCTCAGCTCACTGCAACCTCCGCCTCCCAAGTTCAAGCGATTCTCCTGTTTCAGCCTCCCGAATAGCTGGGACTACAGGCAAGCGCCATCATGCCTGGGTAATTTTTGTATTTTTAGTAAAGGCAGGGTTTCACCATGTTGGCCAGGCTGGTCTTGAACTCCTGACCTCAAATGATCTACCCACCTCGGCCTCCCAAAGTGCTGGGATTACAGGCGTGAGCCACCATGCCGGGCCTCCCATTTGATTTTTAACATCTATTATTATTTATTAGAGATTGTCGCCACCACCCATCTTTCTACCCTCCCTACCCAACCCCCTTTCCAGAAAAACTAATGAAGCTCTAGGATGATCACTGTGGCCAATTCAAACTGCTGATGTTCTGGGAACCCAATATGCAGATTTAAATTCACCAGGATAGTCTTCTAATTAAAAGTATAAATTACCAACTAATTGCTCCAGTCCATACGAATGTAGTTAATTCATCTTCTCAATGTTCATCAATAGCAGCTGATTGCTCAAAATCAATGCACTTTAAATCCCAACACACTGTTGTTCTTACCTTGTAGCCTCAAAGTATTCCAAGTCCTTACAACTTCATAAGGTAGGAAACACGAGATTAGTACCTTTATGTTTTGGACCGGAAAAATGAACCTCAGAGAAATGACGCCCCCAAATCAGCCAGGAGAGGAAGAGAGCTAGGTCACAATTTCAGCTTCTGATTCCTAGCCCAGGATTGTCTGCTACTCTATCATAACAGTACAGTATTCATCCATCTTCTAAATTCCTATTTGAATTTTATTTGCATTCCTATGTCTCTGAGAAAATTTTTAATTTTTTTTTTTAGAAACAGGGGCTTGCTCTGTCACACAAGATGGAGTTCAGTGGTGCTAATTTTACATCTAGAAATAGATTTTAATTTTTTTTTTTTTTTTTTTTTGAGACGGAGTCGTGCTGTGTCACCCAGGCTGAAGTGCAGTGGTATGATCTCAGCTCACTACAGCCTCCACCTCCCAGGTTCAAGCGATTCTCCTGTCTCAGCCTCCCAAGTAGCTGGGATTATGGGCACACGCCACCATGCCCAGCTAATTTTTGTATTTTTAGTAGAGACAGGGTTTCACCATGTTAGCCAGGCTAGTCTCCAACTCCTGACCTCAGGTGATCCGCTTGCCTCAGCCTCCCAAAGTGCTGGGGTTACAGGTGTGAGCCACCATGCCCAATCAGAAATAGATTTTCATTTAAATGTAGAAATGTAAATCTATTCTGTCTAGCCTGGGCAGCAAAGCAAGACCCTGTTGTGAGTTCTGTCTAGCTTACTGCTGCCTCTACCTCCTGAGCGTGAATGATCCGCCCACCTCAGCCTTTCATGGGCTACGGGAGGAACTTTGTTTTTATGCATCAGAATATATATCTGGGGTTGGCCAGAATTAGGGTTGGGAGCTCTTGTCACATATACGTCATCCCAAGTATTTACCATATCAGAAACATAACAAAGTTGTATCCTTCATTTTACTTTATGAGTCTCTGACCCAGAGATACTGAGAAATTCTCTTGGGTGGTCAGAGGTGCTCAGGTTTCATTCATGTTAATGAGACTGAAACAGTCATCAGGAGGTTGGGAATTATTCAACCTAGATAACCAAATAACTGAGTGTCTACTTCCAGCTACTCTGCTTTATGCAGAAGTCAGATTGCCGTAATGGACTACACACATTCCCTGCAATTAAAGAATCTGAGTCAACCTACAGTATGTGGATGTGCCCTATTAAATGTCACCCTCTGCTGCTGCCACTTTAATGTATCTTCAGCTGAGAATAATACATCATTAGCTTTTCCCAAAGCAAAAAATGTCTTCACTACACTTTTATTCTAGAGCATTGCTTCTAATTCTCAGTACACATATTCACACACATACATAATGGTGAATGTTTCATGAAGTGATACCTATCATTCTTATGTATGAATGGTACACTATGATACTTTGATACTTTATTATTTCCTTTCTTTTTTTTTTTAAATTGAGACGGGGTGCTGTGGCACAATCACAGCTCACTGCAGCCTTCACCTCTGGGGCTCAAGTGATTTACTTTACAGCTGGGACCACAGGTTTGTGCCACCACACCCAGCTAATTTTTTTTTTTTTTTTTTTTTTTTTGTAGAGACAAGTTCTCACTGTGTTTCCCAATCTGGTCTCAAAATCCTGGGCTCAAATAATCCTTCCATCTGGGCCTCTCAAAGTGCTGGGAGTACAGGCATGAGCCACCACACATGGCCTCCTTCTGTTTTAATAGTGGCTACTATGTGGACTTCATAACCCACTAATGAGGCCCCAACTCAGAGCTGTAAAATACTGTTGCACATAACCAATATGCACTCTCATTTCATTCATCTATCAATCAATACATATCTGTTAAACATCCTTAATATCCAAGGTTACATTCATTGTGCTGTATGGCTCACAGACATCTATTCTCCAGGATCCCTGGCCCCGGGAGATTGAGAAATTCTTTTGTGTGGTCAGAGGTACTCAGGATTCACTAAGGTTAATGGGTTGGGAATTATTCAGCCTAGGTAAAAAAATGACTGGCTATTAACCAAATAACCACTATTTCCTGCTACTGGAATGGGTAGGTAATGAGTTCATAACAAAACACAATAAAAGAAGACAGTAAGAATAAAGTTCAGAGGCATGTGTCTGTCTGAGGAGATGCAAGAGGACTTTTTAGAAGCCAAAAGCTTGAGCTGTCCCCCAAAGCTTGAGAGGTGGCTGACTTTGGAGGTACAGGCAAGACTGTTGGAAGGCGGGGAAGTGGAGGCACTGGCCAAGGGGAGTGCAGGTCTCCTAGCTCGGGACCACGTCCTTTGAAGTCCTGGAGTTTGGGAACCGCCTATATGGGATGAGAAATGGTCATTTTAGAAGTACTACCCCGTGGCCTGGAAAGGACAATGAGGAAATGTGCAAGAAGTTTCTTTTACCCAGATTCAAGTGGGAGAATGGGAGGTCTCCAAAGAAAGAGGCATCTACATGGGAAGAAGATCCCCAGAGAAGGAGAGGAGAGCCATGTGGCTATGACCCTGGCCTCCCAGCTCACTCCTGGGGGACTGCTCTGAAGACATGACCAGACCTACACTGGTCACACACTACCCACCCAACCCATAACAGAGCCCTGGATGGAAATAGACATTCTAGCAACTCCAGAGCTTTCTGAGAAAGCTGTGACAACCCTTTGGTTAGTAGCCCTAACATCCAGGAAATCCTACTTTGCATTTTAAACACGCCCATGAAGTCCGTCAGTCTTGGACCAACAGGGATGGTAAAGGCAGACAGAGCCACCAACTTGCTCAAACTTTGCCAAACCAAGAGAGATGACAGAGTTCCTTGGCTTTTTATTTTCTGACAATGAACACGTAATAACCATTGGTTAAAAGCTAGCAAAGGATCTTGTAGTGTGCCAGAAACACTCTCTTCCTGTGACTATTTCAGCTTTGGTTAGTTATCCATCTCCCCTGCTCTGTTCCCAGGAGCATGTTGTCTGTACCTTCCTAACCCCTCAGGGCTCGGCACACTTATTCAGTGATGGTGATCACCGAACGGTCATGGCTGACTCTAGTCTAAAATGAAATGAGTTTCCTACTTCTACTTTGTAAGACATATACCTCAGACATTTGTTTGTTTGCTTTCTTGGTTTACAAAGCCTAATCTAGCCTCAGCATGCAGTTTATTTCATGTTTTTGGTGTTCACTTCTCCCTGCCTTTTTGCTTTCGTGTTGCAGGTGTTTGGAAAGGAGGTATGACACAGTATGTGGTTTCTGTAGGAAACACAAAACGACTCTTCGACACATCATCTGGGGCATGTTATTAGCAGGTAAATAACCAAGAGGGATAGGGATACCACTGTCTTTTTTTCAGGGATTCCCCCAAATATTAACTTTATGTGAAAAGAGATTAAACCTTTCTCTTCCCCTGGACCTCACTAAATCTTCTAGGGAGGTGGAGAAGTCAGTCAAGAAGCCCTTTATAGGGGAAGCCTGTGCAAATCGTTTTCCTACCCCATTTAGGAGGCTGGAAGCTAATTGTTTTAGTCACTTACTCTCCGCATTCTTATAGCCTTTGTTACTGTCATGTGGATTTTAAGGGGTGCATTGATTCACATAAATTCAGAAAACACAAGTGAGTAATGCTTTATGTGAATACAACATGAGTAGCTTAGCACCGTCTAGTCCACTCCGTTTGCCTGAAGGCAGGACGAGAATGTCTCCTGTGTTTACTCCCTCCAGAACGAAGAGCTCCTTGGCTCACTTTACTTGCTTTTTCTTTTGTTTTTGTTTTGCTGTATTGTTATTTTTTTTCTTGAAGCTCAGCACACTGAACTCGGCCCATTTTAAAGGACATGCCTGTCTGTAAAATGTAAGCACCCCCATCCAAGCTCACAGACATCAATCCAAGGCTGCCGCACTGCCAGGGTCAGTGGTTTTGCTGATGCGCCAACAGTTGGAAAAGGAAAACAGTAGGGGTGGTGAACTTTATAAGTATTGGGCCAGACAGTATTTTAAGCCTTTCAGTATTTCAGACATAAGATCAAAACCATGCCACTCTGCCACTGTAGTAAAAAGCAACCATAAACGATGCATAAGTAGACAGGCGTGGCTGTATTCCAACACAACCTTATTTGTAGAACACACATACAGTCAACTGAAGAATCAATCACAAGGTTTATACATTTGGAAAGGAAAGTTTTATTTCTCATAAATGGTTGCAGCCTGCAAGGTGGCCATTCTGACAGGCTGGGAAGCATAGTCTCCAACAGAAGCCAGAAACAAGCACTTTGAGGGAGGGAAGAATAAGACAGGAATTTATGCTGAAAGGGTTGGCTAAGTATAAATATTCAATAAGCTATAGAAGGAGTCATGAATATTTGTGAAAGGAGACACATGCACATGGACAATTGAGATTCATGCCTCTCTGTGAATAACGTGTATAAAAAATAGTAGTGTTACCACGATCTAAGGGTGGAGTTTTCAGCCCTGTGAAGTCAAAAGGTAAAGTAAAGAACACAAAAACCCTCACTGTGCATCCTCCAAGGCTGGCCAGAAACATTCCATGGTCAGTTGTCTCTTATCAGGAAGAAATGCCCTGTGAAACTGGTGAGATGTCATGTCAAAACTCTAAAGAGGCTGGGCACGATGGCTCACAACTATAACCCCAGCACTTTTGGAGGCCGAGGTGGGTGGATCACCTGAGGTCAGGAGATCAAGACCATCCTGACCAACATGGTGAAACCCTGCCTCTACTAAAAATACATAATTCACTGGGCATGGTGGCACATGCCTGCAATCCCAGCTACTTGGGAGGCTGAGGCAGGAGAATCTCTTGAACTTGGGAGGCGGAGGTTGCAGTGAGCTGAGATCACACACATTGTACTCCATTCTGGGCAACAAGAGCAAAATTCTGTCTCAAACAAAGCAACAAAAATCTAAAGAAAGAAAAGGAGTCTGGTCAACACCTCAGATGGTTGGCTAAAGGTTTTAGAGAAGTGAGTCTTCCATTTCTTGTTTTCCAGAGCTGGTTTCTGCTAGTTCCTTAGGAAGGAATCCTGGTTAAAAGTTAATAAGTAAGGGGCATACTGAGGCACATCTGACCTCCCATCCTGTCATGGCTGGGAACTCAAGTTTTTCAGGTTTTTCTGGGATCCCCTTGGCCAGGATAGGGTCGGTTCGAAACACACAAATACAAATGTACTTGCCACCTACAAAAACAAGCGGCAGGCCAGGTTTAACCTGCAGACCATCTTTGCAGACCTTTAAGAATAGGAAACCTTACTCTTATCCTACAATCTGCTCTTCCAAAGCAGCCACCTTGGTAACTGCCCCTACCTCTTTTCCTAGGAGACTCTGTGTCACTTAGAGAAATGGTCTGTTGTTGGCAGGTGTATTTCTTCACTCAACTTTAGGCCAAATCTGAACTGCAAACCACAAGAATCAGTATCCCTTTGCCAGTGGCTGTTTCAACACTCGGCCTTTCTCTGATAGTACTCACCTGCCGAGACTGAATACCAGGAGTAAAAACGGACAGTACTGAGAGGCCCAATGATCAAGCACCAGGATTCAAGAATCCGAAAGTCTTGTAAGAATAAAAAGACCCAGCACCCTATCTTCTTAGCATTCATGTGAGAATTTTCAAGACTTGCTTTGAAAAATATCAAAATCCCCCATCAGAAAAGCCAGTAGCTATATCAAGAGCACTCCTGCATTCAGTGATGCCTTAATTAAACCTCCCCTCACCTGAGCCAGATCAAAGCTGGAGGCTGGAGACTGGAGGCGTGTCCCAGTGCTTAATGATGTTCAATGTCTGTTTTTGCTTCCTGGACAGGTTATCTGGTTATGGTGATTGTGGCCTGTGTGCTGAACTTTCACAGAGCCCTTCCTCTTTTTGTGATTACTGTGGTTGCCATCTTCTTCGTTGTCTGGGATCACCTGATGGCCAAATATGAACATCAAATTGATGAGATGCTGTCTCCTGGAAGAAAGTTTCTGAGCGGCCATTGGTTCTGGCTGAAGTGGTAAATGCAATTGGTTCTCTTATTTCAGTTAAGAGAGATAGTAGTCTTTTCCAACACCGTTTCAAAAATGCATTCTGAAATTGCTTCTTCATTTATGGGATATGGAAGCAGAAACACCTTAGGGAGTAATCTGTTACAATGTCTTCATTTTACAAACAGGAAATCAAAGCCTAGATGAGGCAATGACTCATTTGAAATGTGTCCAGATGTCCTCACAAACTGCCTTAATGTCAAGTATATTAAATGATAAAATGTTGTCCAAAAGATGTTGAGCATAAAACGTTCCATGTGCTATATTAGGGAGAGACACGTCCATGCCTACGTATCAGGAAGTAGTTAGAAATATAGAATAGACTGAAAGTGTTGTCATGGCAGGACGGCTTTCACTCTCCCTCTGACCTGTCAGTGGAAGGGCGCCATGATCAATCAGTAACATCTGTGCTGGCATAAGATAGGGAACAGCAGAAATGCCATCTAATCTCAGTACCTGTAAATAAAGAATTGGTTTATAAGTAAAAACTGATGGAGATTGCTGGTGATGTGTTTGCAAAGAGCTTTCATTTTTACCAACTTCTTTTCTTATACACGTTATATACATTCTCTTTACGATTTATTTATAAAATGAGGATCATAGAACATATTCAATCTTGAATTTGATTATAGTTCCTGTATGGTTGACCATTTATTTTACCTACAAAATCTTTGCTATTTTAAATGTTATGATGAACACAAATCTTTATACCTATTTATGATTTGTTTTTTTTTTTATTGATTTTTGAGAAGGAGTCTCATTTTTGTCACCCAGGCTGGAGGGCCACGGTGCAATTTCCTCTCACTGCATCCTGGCTCCCTGGTTCAAGCAATTCTCCTGCCTCAGCTTCTCAAATAGCTGGGACTACAGGTGCTCGCCACCATGCCCAGTTAATTTTTCTATTTTTAGTAGACAGTATTTCACTGTGTTGGCCAGGCTGGTCTCAAGCTCCTGACCTCAGGTGATCCACCCACCTTGGCCTCCCAAAGTGCTGGGATTATAGGCATAAGCCACAACGCCCAGCCTATTATGATTAATTTAAGTCAACTGGTATCTCATTCCTCACATTTCTTTATTGACTAGTGAATCCAAATAATTTTTTTTTTTTTTAGATGGGGTCTCGCTCTGTCACCCAGGCTGGAGTGCAGTGGCGCAACTTTGGCTCACTACAACCCCCGCCTCCTGGGTTCAAGTGATTCTCCTGCCTCAGCCTCCTGAGTAGCTGGGATTACAGGCACTCACCACCATACCTGGCTAATTTTTGTATCTTTAGTAGAGATGGGGTTTCACCATGTTGGCCAAGCTGGTCTTGAACTCCTGACCTCAGGTGATCCATCCACCTCAGCCTCCCAAAGTTCTGGGATTACAAGCATGAGCCACTACGCCTGACCCCAAATAATTTTTTAATCAGGCTTCTTTTCCTCTGATTTCTGCCCATGCCTTTTGCTCATTAAAAATGTAGGGCTTTAAAAGCGGCTTTGTTGTTGAAGACTGTTAGCACTTTTTTTCATGACCCATGGGGCTATGGTCAAAATACAATTTAGTTTTTTCATTCATCATTCTTTCCATTTTATTCAATGCAAGATATCTACTCTATAATTTATAAAAATACTGAAAACCCATGACCCTTCTGAACACTCTTAGTAATGATCCAATGTTCACAGGCTTTCTTTTTTTTTCTTTTTGTGAGACAGAGTCGTGCTCTGTCACCCAGGCGGGAGTGCAGTGGTGCCATCTTGGCTCACTGTAACCTCTGCCTCCTAGGTTCAAATGATTCTCATGCCTCAGCCTCCTAAGTAGCTTAGCTTCCCAGCTATTTTTTTTTTTTATTTTTACTAGAGACAGGGGTTTCACCATATTGCCCAGACAGGTCTTGAACTCCTGGCCCCAAGTGATCCACCTGCCTTAGACTCCCAAAGTGCTGGGATTACAGGTGTCAGTCACTGTGCCCAGCCCATTTTTTAAATTGTTCATTGTTGTGGGTACATCATAGGTGTATATATATTTACAAGGTAGATGAGATATTTTGATACAGGCATCACAGACATTTTTTAACATCAGAATATGCTGTCCCATACAATAATGAGAACTGCGAACTTGACCCAGTGCCCTAGCTTTCCTCCCCCACCTGGGTCTGAGTGTCCCCTTTCTCCCTGTTACTTGTTCCCCTGCCGTCCTCAAAGCCAGTATCAGGCTGGACCCCTGCTCTGGGTATGAAGCTGCCCTCCTTGGGAGAAAGGGCCTGTGAAGTATTAGAGTGACCCTTTCCCATAGGACCCTGTGTCCTACAGCAACTGTCCAGAGCTATTCCCTCAGCCTCTCTCTCAGGGACCTCCTCTCCCTTCAGGTGGCCCACTGAGCAGGACCCAAGAGCAATTCTCTCCCTTAAGACTAACATGGGATCTACCAGGAAACTTCACACATCCTTGGCCTAATAAACTAGGTTTGTGCAATCCCAACACAGCAGGCTTTCTAGCTCTGCTGTCCAAGCCGTGAGTCCTGAGTCAGACTTGTCATGCTTGCTGGACATGCCAGGGGAGCCAGAACTCGCTCGCTCTAATGTCTGATGTTGCTCTCGGCTCCTGGTGAGGTCCCCCAACGGCAGATAACATATTCCAAGTTCTCCCTTAAAGGGAAGCAGGTAACACCTCCCTCACCCCTCAAAATGAAGGTAAAGTAAGAGCTGTAAAGTAAGGAGACCCAGTACTTAATTTTTTAGCTATTTGCCTTGATAGCCACAACCAAAAAGATTCTGTTGCAGTTTCCAAAAGCACAACTTACTGGTGCCAGAGTGTATTCATCTTGTTTTTATGTTTCTTTGTTAATTTAAGCCTGATGACTGGGAGCTGTGGCTCTTGCCTGTAATCCAGCACTTTGGGAGGCCGAGGTGGGCAGATTACCTGAGCTCAGGAGTTCAAGACCAGCCTGGCCAACATGGTGAAACCCGTCTCCACTAAAAATACAAAAATTAGCTTGGCATGGTGGCAGGTGCCTCTAATCCCAGCCACTAGGGAGGCTGAGGCAGGAGAATTGCTTGAACCTGGGAAGTAGAAGTTGCAGTGAGCTGAGATCACTCTGCTCTACTCCAGCCTGGGCGACAGAGCAAGTCTCCATCTCTCAAAAAAGAAAAAAATTTAAGCCTGATTATGATTCTCAAGTTAGCACAACAAAATAATACCAATGCCTCCCTTCCGTTCTCTTAGGGTGATCTGGAGCTCCCTGGTCCTAGCAGTTATTTTCTGGCTGGCCTTTGACACCGCCAAATTGGGCCAACAGCAGCTGGTGTCCTTCGGTGGGCTCATAATGTACATTGTCCTGTTATTTCTATTTTCCAAGTACCCAACCAGAGTAAGTATCCAGTTGATCTTTCAGGTTATTTTTTTCTTTTTCCCCCATATGTAAATTGCTCAAAATACTGATTGTGAGAGAATCACAGTATTATTCAGTATTTTTCTTACCTTGATGGGATTACTTTAAATGGCCAGGGTACCCTATCTTCCTGAACTTTCATGGTACTGTCTGTTATTACCTCATGTTCCATTCTCAGTCATTTTCCAGTCACATAACCAGTGAGTCGTTCTCTCCCTGTCAAGTCTAATTACTTCTCATGTACCCTCCATCAAACACACAGAGAAAACTCATCCACTTTGATCCAGATTTCCCCAGACCAGTAAAAAATCTAATATTTTCCCAATGGATCCTGCAGTTCATCAAAGTCCTATGCAGTTTCAGCATTTATACTCCAAAAATTTGTCCTTATACACTTTTCTTTTAAATATTGAACCCAACTGTCATCCTAGTTCTGTCCGCTGGTAACCCATGAAATGGGCAAGAATTCTGAGGCATCGAAGCTCTCACATGTAACTCACAATGGCAAACTTTGGAAGTCTTTACCAGTTAAAAGCTTGACTCAAGTTAAAAAACATTAATCAGAGACCAAGTTCAGCTAACAGGATCCAAGTCATTTGCCCTGCTGAGGTGAACATCTCCTGGTCTGTGCCTCCGATGCCATAGTTCTCTGAAGCCACTCACCTCTGTACCACAGATGAAAGCAAATGACTGTCCATTCCTGCTGCACATCCTGCGTCTGCATTAGAGTTTATTGGTCTCTTTTACAATGAAATGAGGGCCTCTTGATGGGACAATATTTGACTTAATTCACTTACAGGTTGTCAGATCAACAAACCTTGGACACACAGAGAATCATGTTCTGCCTTTCCGTTTTTCCAGATGGGGACATAATGATATGTATCCAGTACTTACAGCTTAGCTAGGATGGCAGGATCCTGCCTCCTTTAATGGCCCTTCTTAGACCTCCTGTTTCTATCAGAGTAAATTATCAGGGAATAGTGGTTATTTACATACTTTCCCTGGACTGAAGGCTTAAAACTCAGTTTTAGGGAGAGGGAATGCAATTCTGAGTTTGTTTTTTGTTTGTTTGTTTTTTTCTTGAGATGGAGGCTTGCTCTGTTGCCCAGGCTGGAGTGCGGTGGTGTGATATCAGTTCACTGCAATCTTTGCCTCCTGGGTTCAAGTGATTCTCCTGCCTCAACCTCTTGGGCCAACAGCAGCTGGTGTCCTAATTCCTGGGATTAGGCATGCGCCACTATGCCCGGCTTCTTTTTGTATTTTTAGTAGAGATAGGTTTCGCCATGTTGGTCAGGTTGGTCTTGAACTCCTGAGCTCAGGTCATCTGCTCGCCTCAGCCTCCCAAAGTACTAGGATTACAGGTGTGACCCACTGTGCCTGGCCTGAGTTTTTTAAGGTATGGTTCTATCAAGGGGTTCTCTGCTCATGACAGCTTTAGCCTCCCAAAGAAGGTGGGTGACAGGCCACATTTGAGAATGTGTCCAAGGAAATAGTGATCCATTAGACATTTGTACTGAGGTCTGCATTAATTTTCCTACTAAGATATATCACTTGATCTTTCTGTATAGGTTTACTGGAGACCTGTCTTATGGGGAATTGGGTTACAGTTTCTTCTTGGGCTCTTGATTCTAAGGACTGACCCTGGATTTATAGCTTTTGATTGGTTGGGCAGACAAGTTCAGGTAAGTTTGGTTCAAAAGAACACCTTGCTTTTATGGTGCTTTTAACATTGGAGGTAATCTTCAAGATGTGTCAGAAATGGGTTTATCTGTCTGCATGAGTTGTCTCCAATTTTAATTCTGCATCATGAGTTAACAAATAGCTTTGCTTATGTTTGATATGTTAGTCTGCCTGGCTTGTTAACATCACTGCTGTTCTGGACCTGTATAATCACTCCCTTAACCCATCACCCACATCCTCCTGCCCAGCTTCTCAGACACTTCCACAGACAGAGAAACAGGCTTCCTTTGTGTCCAGTGGTAACTAATGCCACCCTCAAGCCACATATGGCCTGCTGGACCACATCACCACATTCAACTCATTCTGTACCATTCTGGAGTCATACTGAATGTCAGAAACGTCAGGAAATTTATATGCAGGACTATTTCAAAACTATACTTCTATGCCATTCATTGGAGGGGGCAAAGCTGAGAACAATAACTTTCCAAGTCTATCCAACAAGTTTGCTGAGTACCTATCCTCTGCCGAGCCTAGCGTTCCTGTGCACTATGTAATTTCTACTCACGTGGTTGGAATGAGAACTCTTTTTCTTTCTTTAACTCAGACTTTTCTGGAGTACACAGATGCTGGCGCTTCATTCGTCTTTGGTGAGAAATACAAAGACCACTTCTTTGCATTTAAGGTAAAGTCAAACCTTTTTTCTATATAGTCACTGCTATTTCAGTAGCTTCTTAGTCTTTGTAGATGTTCAGATAGAACTTAACTGACCAAAAACCAGTTATCTATCTACTGGGCTTGTCAAAGGTGTGCAATACATCACCACCCTTTTTCATTGACAATCTTACCTGAAGTTAGTGGACTGTACACATTTTACTTTGTAGCTATGGAATTAAGGGAAACATCTAGAGGAAGTCAGAAATATTCAAATACTAGAGGGTAGGGCTTGTAGCCTTATCTAAGATACTTAGGGAAAATCAAAAGGGTAATAGCACCTTGGGCCTTCAGGGAAAGGAGCATTACGTTCCTAGCAATAAGGAGGCATGTAGCAGTGAATGGCTGATGGATCCAGGATCAGTGACAACTCTGTACTCGGAAATCCCTGCAGCCCCAGTGCCTGAGACAGCTGGTCAACCCATCAGCCTCTGTTTTAGAGCCATCTCCACGCTCAGACTTTCTCATCTCTCCTTCAGCACAGCCTTGCATAGGGAGGCCTAGAGGATAGGCCTTCTCCTAACCAAAGTAGGCACATTATTTTACAGGCGAAAGGCAGCTTGGTCCCATGGCTGGCCACAGTTAATTCCTTCTTGAGGCTCCCACATGCCCCGGGAAGCCCATCCTCCTCTGGGAAGTTCCTACAAACACTTGTCAATGAGTCAGAAAGATACATTTGGGTTTTCCTTCAGCTTTCTTTTTTGTGGTATGTTGTTATTCATACACATCTAAATTGTTTTCTCACTTAGAGACTCCAAATTTACCTCCAAATTACCCCACTTCAGTTAAGCCAACTTTTAGGCTGAATCTTATTTCAGCCTAAAATATCAAACCAGCAGTTTAGCAGCAGGCTGCAGAGGAGAACCGCTACTGTTTGTAAAACACATGCAGTTTATACAGCATTTTCCTTAGCACCCTCCCCCAGCAACCTCTACCCAGCAGTTTCGCTGGTTTGATGTTTTAGGGCTGAGTTAATTCAGCCATCTCTGAAAGGTCAAATGTTTATAGGGTGAGATAGGAATATGCTCATATCATGAAATGAATTCAGAATTGAAAAAATGAAGTCATAAAGAAGGAATGACTTCTACCCAGACTCTACAGGTGTTTTCAGGCCTTCCCCCTCCCCTCTTCCAGGGCAGTGGCCCCTATTCTTTCCTGCCAATGCAGAATCCTCTGCTAACATTCCAGAGATGAGCCTTTTTAACTCCCTTAAGCTTTCAGGAAGGGACTGCCTACCCATTACAGCCAATAAAAAGCTTATAGTGAGTGAGCTCCAAATACTGGCACAAAATGTCTTTTAATATATATTATTAATAGATTTTTCTAAATTAGATCCTGTGCAAATTGTCCTTGGTCATTCTGTGCCTTTGGTGGCGGCCTTCTCTGGCCAGTTAGCTGGGGAAGAGTGGGGAAGGGGTGCAGTAGGATGAGGCTGAGAAGGGACCCAGCCCACAGCTCTGTGTGGTCTATGCAGGGTAGAAAGTGTTCTCTACGGAGACACTGGCTGCACTGAAGGCACTCAAAGAGCATCAGGAAAACGGGATCTAGGAAAAGGGCCTTTTTTTCTTTTTGAGACAGGTTCTTGCTCTGTCCCCCAGGCTGCAGTATGGTTCAATCTCGGCTCTGCAACCTCTTCCTCCCAGGTTTGAGCAATCCTCCTGCCTCAGCCTCCCCAGTAGCTGGGATTACATGCGTGTGCCACCACGCACGGCTAATTTTTGTATGTTTAGTAGAGATGGGTTTCACCATGTTGGCTAGGCTGGTCTCGAACTCCTGACCTCAGGTGATCCGCCTGCCTCAATCAGGATCCCAAAGTGCTGGGACTACAGGTGTAAGCCACTGAGCCTGAGCAGAAAATACAATGGATTTTAACACAGAACTAAAGTCTGCATTCACTTTTTTGTAATTTGAAAATCTATAGGTAAAATCACTATTATTTTAAAAGCTAGAAGAATGAATGTTTATTGCATAGAGGGCATGAGAGATCCCTATTGACTTCAGTAGGGGTGGCACCATGTTTGAGAGGTCAAAGAAAAGACCTAGAGCCAGCGAATGAGACAAGTTTTATTGAGGGGCTCACATGCAGGACAGTCCAGTGGCAGCAGGCTAGACAGGGGAACTGCTGCTGCTTGTAAATAGCAGACAGTTTATATAGCATTGTCTCTTAGCACCCTCCCCCAGCAACCTCCACCTCGCAACATTCATTTAACCCAAAACAATGGGCCTGGATCCCCTGTAGGGTCTGCTTTCCATGGGATGGACCAAGGGTTCAGAAGTTTCTTATAGATAAGGAATGACTCTTTGGGTTGACCACTCCCAGGTTCCTTAGTTTGGAACTCCAAACACACGTGCTTAGACCACAGTGTCATTCTCAGGGGATGCTGAAGTTATTGCCATCAGGTATTTCTGCCATCCAGTAAGAGGCACTATGTGTCAGCACCCACCATGCCTTACCTGATCTCTATAGCTATTCAGAATAAGGCTCTGAGATTGCTCACAACTTATCTCAACTTACGTTACTCCGCTAACTAATGGTGAAGTCCATGTCTTTTTTACATCAGGACAAAAGTATTTCCTGGCAGCCTTCAGTGTATTGATCTAGTTGTTACAAATCCCCCCAAACTTCATTCCTTCTCTGAGCAAAAAAAAAGCACACCATAGAAGACAAGGGGGAAAAGTCAAGTCCTGTGACAAATTAGAATCAGCTGCCTGATTAAAGTACTTAGTTCAAGAGGAGTTTCCCATATTTTCATGATGTTTCAGAGGAAGAAAAGGAGACAGAGAGGAGCCCTGATATAAAACCTGCTGATGCAACTGGGCCCAACATTAACTCATGATTGTTTCTGTCCCCCCGAGATCCTGCCGATCGTGGTTTTCTTCAGCACTGTGATGTCCATGCTGTACTACCTAGGACTGATGCAGTGGATTATTAGAAAGGTACTGGGGCTGGGAGGGGCTGGGTTACAGGTGCAGAGCTGATTATCTCAAGCCTTTTATGCAGGTATGTACAAAATGGCTTTCTCTTCCTACCATTATCCACCAGCGCCACCTAAGTGATTAGATTCAAGCCTCCAATCCTAAATGTGTCCGTAGAGGGAATTTTATCTCAAGAACTTCTAATAGGACTTTAATTTGCAAACCACTGGATATCTTCATGAAACTATAGCAGTTACTTCTTTAGCAGAGAATTGAGGTCAGATACTGCTGGGGGCAACAGTGTTGTTCCTTCATCTTGGTTACCCCCCATGTGCTTATCATTTTTTTTTTTAGCTACTCCTTAATTATATGCTACCTTGCTTAAGGAGGTTACAAAAGTAGACACTTCTGGTTTTGGAGGTGCTAGAGAAATCGAAGCAAGAAGGAGAAACAGCTTTTCACTCCTGAGGGAGTTTCATAAGCATGAGCTTGCAAGCACACACACACACTGTACACATACTGTACACACACACTGTACACACACACTACACACACACTGTACATACACACTGTACATACACACTGTACACATACACACTGTACACACACACTGTACACACACTGTACGCACACTACACACACACTGTACATACACACTGTACATACACACTGTACACATACACACTGTACACACACACTGTACACACACTGTACGCACACTACACACACACTGTACACACACACACTGTACACATACTGTACACACACACTGTACACACACACTACACACACACTGTACATACACACTGTACATACACACTGTACACATACACACTGTACACACACACTGTACACACACTGTATGCACACTACACACACACTGTACACACACTGTACACACACACTGTACACACACACAGTACACATACACACTGTACACACACACTGTACACACTTACACTGTACACACACACTGTACACACACTACACACACACTGTACACACACTACACACACACACACTGTACACATACACACCGTATACACACACACTGTATACACACACACTACACACACACTGTTCACACACACTGTACACACACACTGTATACACACACACTGTTCACACACACACACACACACACACACATACATAGACACACCCCTAAAGAGTTCCTGTCCTTCCTGTTACCCTAGCCTCTGTGAGTCCTATGCTCATGGGTTAGATCAGAAAATAAGGACATCTGTCAGCTAATTTGGACTCACTCGAGTACAGAGCATTGCAGCCAGTGCTTGGGGCACAGCCACAGCCTTCCTTGATCCCGAAAAATCAATCAAAATGTACAAAAAGAAAGAGAAAAGAGAGAAGAGAGAGAGCAAACCTGAATACAGGTAGCAGCAGAGTTCAGAACGACAGCAAGAAGTCCAAGGCCCATAATTTTCTGTTTAAATCCCAGAACACTCAGAATTGTTATGCTCTTGTGTAAACTAAAAAGCAAGGAGAAAGAATGCAACAGGAAGTCTTCATTCACCGTCACTAATTGAAAGGGCTGTACAAACATGGAACCAAAAATCATGTTCATTTGAATTAAGTAAAAAATACCAAATCTCAAGTACATCCCCCTACATGTGAGTGACCTTTGACAAAACAACTAAACTGTTCTGTGCTTTGCTTTCCTCTTTAATAAAATGAGCATAATTATATAGGACCACTCTCAAAGAGTTATTGTAAGGATTAATTGCTTTATCTGGATCAAGGGCTTAACACTGTGCCTGGAATGCAGTAAATCCTTCCATGAGCATGTTAGCAATTGTCATGTATTACTTGTATACAATAGACCTATAGAAATTCATTTGTATGATGTTCAAAGTATATACAATAATTCAGACTTACTACTCAAATAAGAGGATTTGCTGGGCCTGCTCTCGGGGCTGAATAAGTTAAACTTACCTTTAGCACCATCATTAGCCTGCTGACAATTGGTGAAGCCCTCAACATTTTACTCCAGTTTAAGGCTTTTAATCCCTACTTTGAAGTTTTGAGTATACAAAGAGTTCTTCGCTGACTTTGTCCCTTTCTTCCTTTTAGGTTGGATGGATCATGCTAGTTACTACGGGATCATCTCCTATTGAATCTGTAGTTGCTTCTGGCAATATATTTGTTGGACAAGTAAGTTGTAACATCAACAAAACAAAACATCTGTTGAAATGGATCATCTTTTTCCAAAAAGCCAAATTAGAAAATAACACAATGTTGTCATTTCTTTTAGTGTAGAGAGAAGGGTGTCAAAATAAGAAAGTCCCAGTACTCGCAACGTCCAGATTCCAGAGAGAGAGGGCAGAGAGAGAGAGAGAGAGAGAGATCCTTCTTAACAGTCTGGGTATGATATTGTGGAATTAGATTCTTGAATGTTTATGAAGAGGATGGAAGGTTCAGTTTATTAAAGCATAGACATAGAGCTTCTCATATAGATTCTCAATAAATCTGAATTTAGCGATTGTGAGGTTTCTGGTCAACACTTCAGAGACTGGTAGCTCTTCCACTTGAATGGATCTCACTATCTCGAAGCTGCAAACATAGAGCAGGCAGCCTCTCACTCTAAACCATAATGCCTATGTCATTGGAGGAGACCAAAAAAGTCTTTTCACCAGCAACCACGCAACTGTGTAAACACTTGAGCTTATTCTCAGCTTGTCAGACCTGGCCAGTATTCTGTCTTTGCTGAGCCCGAAGAAAAATGCTTTCAGGTTTTCTTCTTCTCATCAAAAATATGCTTTTAGGCTATAATTTTCACCTCGCTGATCCATCACATGGAGAAATGCTCTCTTTTGCCTGAAGTCCATTTAAGCAAAGAACAATGATGCCAAGGAGTGTCCCTCAAAATAGCAGCATTGCTAAGGGGTGGATTAGTAAGAAGTTGTAATAACCCCTTCCAGATATACAGCTTCAGGAAGAAGGGAGTCACATGCCACAAAAACCAAGTGTGAATGCTTGCCAGCACCACTGCCCAAGGAAATTGAATTTGAAGCAAAAATCAAGTCACTCAGAAAAACACATAGCCCCACATCCTAGGTTTACAACTTCTCCAGGTGGGCTGATGCTTCTTGTTGGTGAGCCAACAAGAAGCACTCTAAAGATTGTACTTATGGCCCGGAGCTGGGGCTCATGCCTGTAATCCTAGCACTTTGGGAGGCTAACGTGGGTGGACCACCTGAGGTCGGGAGTTCGAGACCAACCTGACCAACAAGAAGAACCCCTGTCTCTACTAAAAATACAAAATTAGCCAGGTGTGGTGGCTCATGCCTGTAATCCCAGATACTCAGGAGGCTGAGGCAGGAGAATCTTGAACTTGGGAGGCAGAGGTTGCGGTGAGCCGAGATCATGCCATTGCACTCCAGCCTGGGCAACAAGAGCAAAACTCCATATCAAAGAAAAAAAAAAGACGGGCCGGGTGCGGTGGCTCAAGCCTGTAATCCCAGCACTTTGGGAGGCTGAGGCGGGTGGATCACGAGGTCAAGAGATCGAGACCATCCTTGCCAACATGGTGAAGCCCCATCTCTACTAAAAATACTAAAAATTAGCTGGGCAGAAGTTGCAGTGAGCCGAGATAGCGCCATTGCACTCCAGCCTGGGTAACAAGAGAGAAACTCTGTCTCAAAAAAAAAAAAAAAGACTATGCTTACTAGTCTGGAGCATAGTCTTTAGAGTGGGGCCCATGCTTCCTTCACTAGGAGTTGAAATTATTATAGTCATAAAATCTCTCAGGACTAATTAGGGCATCATCTTGAGTTGATTGCTCCTACCTGCAGAGTAAGAGGGCTCATGTACAGGGTTCCTGTTTAGCCAATAAGTCGAGGCTCCACACATTCAATCTTATAGAACAATTAGAGATAATGAGGAGAAAATTGTAAAATGGCACACAAGCTTCTGTGATGCTCGATTTGATACTTAATATGCTAAAAGTACAGCTATTATCTATGGAGAGCCCCATGCTGCAGGCTGCCTGTCCTCTTTAATGGGATTCAAGCCTTCACAACCGCACTCCCGCCTGCTTCCTTTCCACCCAACAGAGTGGGTCTCTAATTCTCAATTACAGAAGGGCCTGCAGGCACCTGTCCTTGTTATTGCTGAGTTTTGTTTGTTTGTTTTTTGTTCTTAATACTTGTGTCTCTATTTCCCTGAGGTATCAGGAAACAGGTTTAGGGTCTGTCAAGGTGAAGTTGGAAGATGGGAAGCCCCAGTGGCTTAGAAATCACCCATCCCAAAGTTCAGGCCACTGGGTAGAGTCAGTTGGCTCTTAGAAAAGTGCACCGAGTCATCACAGAGTCCAGTCCTAGGCTAGGTGGAGGCCTTCTATGTCTAGCCTCACAAATTTTGCGAAATTTACACATGACATATGCAAACTGATCCAGAGCTCAAATGACCCAGACCTGGATGGTGTGGGTTCTCAAATTTCAGCATGCACTGGAATCACCTGGAAAACTTGTGAAAATACAGATTGCTAGCCCCCACCCTCGTAGTTTCTAATTTAGTAAATGGAAATAATTTGTAAGTCTAATAAGTTTTTAGGTGATGCTGATTGAGTTGGTCTGAAGTTCCTTCTTAGAAACACTGCTTTAAAGAATAAAATTATGAGTAGATTGACACCCCTTCCCCCGCCCCCTCACAAATTTAAAAAGGAATCTAGTCACCCTTCTTTGTCTCCAGACAGAGTCTCCACTGCTGGTCCGACCATATTTACCATACATCACCAAGTCTGAACTCCACGCCATTATGACCGCTGGGTTCTCTACAATTGCTGGAAGCGTCTTAGGTGCATACATTTCTTTTGGGGTAAGAATATTTTGGAATTAACTTATGAAACATCAACCTCTTCTTTCTTCGTTATTGTTACTTCTTTTCTTTTCCCTTGCTGGTGGATAAAGAAGGCCAAAAGAGTGTCTTTTTTGCCATATGGTAAAAGTTGCTTCGGCATTTGAACATAGAGACCCCAAGGAGTTTGGGGCCTTCATATTCCTGCTGCCTAAATGTGAGTTCTATCTGCAGAATAAAAATAGCAAAATGCAATCATATGATGAAGTTACTTTGGTTGAAAATTTAAAGTTGTTAAAAAAAAAACAACTATTGGCCAGGCGTGGTGGCTCACGCCTGTGATCCCAGCACTTTTGGGAGTCCAAGGCAGGTGGATCACGAGGACAGGAGTTCGTGACCATCCTGGCCAACATGATGAAACCCCGTCTCTACTGAAAATACAAAAATAAGCCAGGCGTGGTGGCATGCATCTCTAGTCCTAGCTACTCAGGAGGCTGAGGCAGGAGAATTGCTTGAACCTGGGAGGTGGAGGTTGCAGTGAGCCAAGATCACACCACTGCACTCCAGCCTGGTTAGAGAGTGAGACTCCATCTCAAAAAAAAAAAAAAAAAACTATTACATCAGTAAAGGTGATCTGAATGGGGAGTCACAAACTATGGCCCATGGGCCAAATCCCGATTGCTCTTGTTTTGAGAAATAAATTATTGGAAAACAACTACTTCTATTCATTTGTCTGTGGCAGCTTTCTTGCTATCCTAAAGTTGAGTCATTGTGATCCACAAAGCCCACAATATTTATTCTCTGGCCCTTTACAGAAAAAAAAAAAAAAAAAAAAAAAAAAAAAACACTTTTCTGATGCCTTGTCAAGAGCAGTGATTCTCAAATCTTTCCGCACATTAGAATCACCTGGGAGCTTTTACATTCTCTAATGCCCAGGTCCATATCTCTGAGTAATTAAACCACAGTTCCTTGGGATGAGACCCAGGCATCAGTATTTTTTAAAACTCCTCAGATTCTAATGTACAGCCAAGTTTTAGGGCTGGCAGTCTGCACTATAAGGCTAGAGAATGTTGTAGCTGGTGTGTGCACCCCAACCCATGGAGCTTACAAGCCACCCATAGACACAATCCCCAGTACTGAAACTGAATAACACAGCCCAGTCACTGTGTGACTCAGGAAACTAGGATTTCTTACAAGGTAAGTGGGCTTCATTCTAGGTCTTCATCCAGGCCTTGGAGTGCTAGTTAGTAGAAAGAGGCAAGAAGAAATGGGCAAAGGATGCCTGGGGAATGGGTAGCTCGAGTGGATCATCTGCAGAATGCCATCCCCACTGTAGAAATGCTGCCTGAAAATTTTCTGGGGGGAAAGGGGGAAAATTTTCTGGGGAGGGAGGTGCTGATCCTGGAAATCCAAAAATATGTGGAAGAGAATCCAGAAACCATGTGAGGGAAAAAAGTGGAACTGCGATGAAGAAAACAGAAGTCATGTACAGATTAAAGGCCTCCGGATCAATGAAGCTTGCATAAAGGCATAGAGGCTCTCAGGAGAGCAAAAGGAAGACAGAGAGAGGAGAGTATACACATCTGCACGTGAATCATGAGTCCCTTCTCCACACCCCACCCCCTATCTAAAAGGATATAATGAGGCCAGGTGCGGTGGCTCACACCTGTAATCCCAACACTTTGGGAGACCAAGGCGGGTGGATCACCTGAGGTCCGGAGTTCAAGACCAGCCTGGCCAGTGTAGCAAAACCGCATCTCTACTAAAAATACAAGTTAGCTGGGCATGGTGGCAGGTGCCTGTAATCTCAGCTACTCAAGAAGCTGAGGCAGGAGAATTGCTTGAACCTGGGAGGCAGAAGTTGCAGTGAGCCGAGATCATGCCACTGCACTCCAGCCTGGTTTCAAAAAAAAAAAGTTGTAATGACATATGTGATTTAGGGGCTCTCTGAACATTTAAAAGGGTAACAGGAGGCTGAGGAATCTTCCTTGAAAGTTTCCACAATACAGGATTAATTCTCTTCTGAAACGATCAGATTTTGGTTTTATGCTTCTCCCCAGGGATGTGGTCAACTAGCACGAATGTCTCCCTTATCCCTCAGCCTCTCAAGGTGATGCCCTCAACTTGGCTCGCTGAGCTAGAGTGACTCTTCCAGACCTCCAAAGCAGCACTGTCTTCTGCCATAGAAGCAACCCCTGTCCCATCTCTTCCCCTGTGGGGCTCTTGGACCCTTCGTGCGGACACAAGAAAAAAGCTAACCCCAGGTCTGCCTTCTTTCTTCTGAAATTGCAGGTTCCATCCTCCCATTTGTTAACAGCGTCAGTTATGTCGGCACCTGCTTCATTGGCTGCTGCTAAACTCTTTTGGCCTGAGACAGAAAAACCTAAAATAACCCTCAAGAATGCCATGAAAATGGAAAGTGGGTAAGTGGGACACATTCACCTAACTAATGACTGTCCAAGCTGGGGCAGGGGACTCCAAACTCAAAGTACAGCAAAAATTCACTAACTGGAAACCACAGTGAATTATGCTATTAAAGCAATTCCAAAGACTATTTAGACGTCACCAAAAAAAAGTCTTCTTTTATTTCCTTTTTTTGAGACTTGCTCAAAAAAGACTTTTTTAAAGTTTCGCTCTGTTGTTCAGGCTGGAGTACAGTGATATGAACACGGCTCACTGTAGCCTCAACCTCCCAGGCTCAAGTTATCCTCCCACCTCAGCCTCCTAAGTAGCTGAGACTACAGGCATGTGCCACCACATGCAGCTAATTATTTTAAGTTTTTGTAGAAACAGGGTCTCACTATGTTGCCCAGGCTGATCTCCAGCTCCTGGGCTCAAGGGATCCTCCTGACCTGGCTAAAATCTTGTTTAAATACTTGACATAAACCTCTCCAAATATGTAATGTCAATACATTTCCATACCCGCTTGTTGTAGAGATATTTCATTATAAATATAGCAATGTGTTTATTGAGCCTTGGTTTAGACAAAAAGCCGTAGCGTGACCATTTCTGGAGGTTCCTCTTATAAGAAAGCTGGTTCCTTTTCTTTTGCTTTGTGAAAAAGGAAAAAAGAAAAGAGTGGAAACAATTAAGGGACTTAGGATGTTCAAAAGTATTTCAGTAAATAGCAGAATTCATCAGCAACCAACACATGTCTGAGATTCACCCTCACGTGTATGTAGATGGAGTCAACCATGAATGAAAAAGCAAGCTGCCAGTGAGCACAGTGTAATTCCACTTACAAAGTTACTCAGTGTGCCGACTTGCAGTGTTGTTTTGTTGTAGTTGTTGTCATTGTTGGTTTTTTAAACAGGGTCTCATTCTGTTACCCAGGCTGAGCTCCAGTGATCCTCCCACCTCAGCCCCTTGCGAAGCAGGGACTACAGGTCCTGCTTATTTCTGTACTTTTTGTAGAGACAGCATTTAGCCATGTTGCCCAGACTGGTCTCAAACTCCGGGGCTCAAGCAATCCACCTGCCTCGGCCTCCCAAAGGGCTGGGAGCCACTGCACCTGAACACACAGTATATTTTTTAGGGGTATAGACATGTAGAAAAAACTGTAAAGAAAGGGGATGATGAGTAAATTTTAGGAAGATAGGTACCCCTGAGATTAGAGGGGGGATGGGATCAAAGAACACACAGGGGCGTTCAAAGTGATGGTGGTGTTCCATTTTTTAAATGAAGTGACGGATTTACAGCCTTCCTTGAATCATTAATTTTCATACCATTTATATTTTATAACTATTCTCTAGTAGTTACTTGTAACAAAAAATCATTTTTAAACTTGTAATATTTTTATCATTTTCCAATTTTTTATTTCGAATGTCTCCAAATTTAAAAAATCATGTAACAGTTACCCAGAGACTCTGGAAGCTAAGGTAGGAGATCACTTAAGCCCAGAAGTTCAAGCCAGCCTATGCCATGTAGCATGACCCCATCTCTTAAAAAAAAAAAAAAATAGTCAAGCATGGTGGCACACACCTGTAGGTCTTGGCTATTCAGGAGGCCGAAGAAGGAGGATCACTTCAGCCCAGGAGTTGGAGGCTGCAATGAGCTGTGATCGCACCACTTTACTCCAGCCTATCTCTTTAAAGAACAAGACCCTATCTCTTAAAAGACAAAAACAAACACCGTTAAATACCCATATGCCCACTTTATGATTTCATGGGATTCAGGAGAGTATTTTGAACAAGGGGCCTGACAGTTTGTCTCTTGTCTAAGCTCTGATAATGCTACTTCTGCACCAGTGGTGTCGATCCCCTGGCAACTCCTTGGTAATTCTGGAATTGCTATTTCTTGATAAAGCGATTCAGGGAATCTTCTAGAAGCTGCATCGCAGGGAGCATCCTCCTCCATCTCTCTGGTGGCCAACATCGCTGTGAATCTGATCGCCTTCCTGGCCCTGCTGTCTTTTATGAATTCAGCCCTGTCCTGGTTCGGAAACATGTTTGATTACCCACAGCTGAGTTTTGAGGTATAATCATATCACAGCCCTGCCCTCTGTTTTGTTTCTGCCTATCTTTGTTTAAAAATAAAACAGGTTTGTGGCTGGGCACTGTGGCTCACGCCTATAATCCCAGCACTTTGGGAGGCCGAGGTGGGTGGATCACGAGGTCAAGAGTTCGAGACCATCCTGGTCAACATGGTGAAACCCTGTCTCTACTATAAATACAAAAATTAGCTGGGCATGGTGGCGCACGCCTGTAGTCCCAGATACTTGGGAGGCTGAGGCAGGAGAATTGCTTGAACCCAGGAGGCAGAGGTTGCGGTGAGCCGATATCGTGCCATTGCACTCCAGCCTGGGTAACAAGAGCGAAACTCCATCTCAAAAAATAAAATACAATAAAATAGGTTTGTAAACAGCCCACCCTAACTACCTCAGTGGACTCTTCCACATTGTAGAAGCTTCTCATGCATCCCCCACCTTCCCGCCCCACCTTTCTCTGTCTCCTATCACCCTCCTTCCCTGCAAAGACAGTCTCTTTTGGCCCCTTCCCCAAGAATCCAGCTTACTTCAAATCACCCATTTCTAGTCCTGACTCCTGATGGGTAAAGATGGCCAAGGAAAGAAGAGATTTCTGGCCTAAAGGAGACAGAGGGGTCAGGAACAGTGTTGTCACCGAGGTGGGGGCAGAACGGAAAGCAAATCGCTATTCTTATCAAGTGTCTACTTTTGGTTTCTGTAGCTAATCTGCTCCTACATCTTCATGCCCTTTTCCTTCATGATGGGAGTGGAATGGCAGGACAGCTTTATGGTAGCCAGACTCATAGGTTATAAGACCTTCTTCAATGAATTTGTGGCTTACGAGCACCTCTCAGAATGGATCCACTTGAGGAAAGAAGGTGGACCCAAATTTCTGAATGGCGTGCAGCAATATCTATCGGTGAGTAAATATTTTAATTTCTCAGTGCATTTCTTCATCACATACCTACATTCATTGATTACTTATGCCTCTGTGTGTCAAGCACTATGCCAGGAACCTGGGGTAGATCAGAGAGAAAACAACCTAAAATCCATAGCTCATAGAGCTCATAATGTACATAGCACTTCCTAAGTTTCAGTTACGTTGAATTAATCAGAGGGAGAGAGAGTGTATGTGAGCGTGTAGACACAGCGAGTCATTACCACTGTGATCGTTTACTTTTGAGGACTGTGGACATAGACCCAGAGTCACATGAGCTGGGACTGCAATCAGTCAACCAAAATTTATTGAATGCCTTGTATGTGCCATGTGCGGGGCCATAGCACTGAGCAAGTCATGGGGCCCCTGCCCTCATAGTCTAGTGGCTGACAGTCTCGTGATCATAAGGCCTTTCCCTTAATTTAACGGATTCTGAGAAACTTTCTAAAAATAATAACATGCCTGAACATCCTCAAAAGACAGTGTAGCATCATCACGCCTCTCCAGGTGGATGAGGGAGAGAAAAGGCTCAGAGTCTGTGATCTGAAAAAGCCTTGAGACAAGCACCCATAATTACATCAGGACTTCAGGTCAATAGCCTGCAAGGAGGCATTCACATCTGCCAGGTCTTTGGTGGGAAGAGGAACTCAGGTGAGGTCATGTTTGTAGTTGAGTTTCCAACTTTCTCTCCTAGAGAACAGAACTGTCATACGGAAACTCTGAAGAAAATGGTGAACATTCCTGCGCACCCCTAGAACTCATTGAAACAGTCCATTTGGAATTAATGTCCCAGGAATGTATTTGGTTTAAAAATGAAAGGGGAGGAAAAGCAGCCTGCCTAAGGTTCTCACTGAGTCTGTTCACCTACAAACAACACTACCATCCCTCTCAGCCCCCCAAAGACCAGACCTGCAGATTTACTCCCATATGGCACACCAACGTAACAGCCCACTCCTGGGGAGCACTGATTTGTATATTACAGCTGGGGCATTTTGACCCACACATCTAATATGAGCAGGGGCTCTGTAGAGTTCCCTGTTCTCGAATGTTCATTCTTCAACTAATCTCCCAGTAAAGCTTAGCCAATTATCCTCATTGTTTAGATGCCACCAAAACCAGCTTGTTTCCCTGCCAAAAGTAAACAATAGGCTAAATTAAGTGAAATGTTTTCTATCCCCAGTTGCCAGTTGCCAGGAGAGAATCGTTTTGTTAATCAGCAAAGCGGGCTCTGCGTTCTGGCAGCACGAAGCAGCTTTGTGGAAAGGTTATCATGAGGGTAGAGACAGAACAGTAGAGCTGATTGAGTTTGGGGGTGAGCCCAACCAAAGGCAGGCGCAGAGAGGATATTTGGAAACAGGAGCTCAGTGGCCTCTGCTATTGTTGAGTCACGATGTGAAGGGCATTTTGTTTCTCCAAATTTCTGATTTGCAATCAACAAAATGCAGATGAGTCCCAGCAATTTTTGCTCACAACCTAGAAGTGGAGGAGGGTGTCCCAACAGTCTTCTAGAAAAAGTGCCACAGAACAGAATGTACCATGCAGGTCTGTGAGGCAAAACCCCAGTGATAGCCACTGAATTATGCCCATGCCAACCCCCATCTGAGATAAGCGGGAGATACTATGCAGGCCCCGTGTCCCTAGGATGAGTCCTTTACTCCATCACTTTCTCTTTCCTGAAGATAATACTTTGCCTGTTTGTATTCATTTGTTTACCTGTAATACATGCTATAGTATAGAATTCAAAAGGTCCAAAAAAAGGTAAAGGAAAAAGTAAGGCATGTTTCTCATTTGTCTGGAGCTTTTCTCCATGGAATGAATACTCACTGTTTTTAACCTCGTCCTTTCCACTCAATAACGTGTCTCAGGTGCCCTTCCATATCAGTGCCCATGACATTGTATTCAATTGTATAGTAACCATAATTCATCTTCACTAGTCCCTTGCTGAAAAAACTAGTACCTTGTTTTTGTGGGTTTTTTTTTTTGCTATCAGAGATAGATAGTGCTGTAATGACCAACCTGTACATATGGCATCTTTGCCTGTGCAGTCACAAAGAGAGCTGTAAGGTGTGTTGTTAATATTTTCCTAGTACAGTGCATCTCTTTACATCACATCATCTTGCACATTAAAACCCATCATGGCCACATCTGTGTAGCCCCTTCCTACTCATCCCCGGAAAGGGGAAAGAGGAGTTTCAAACCCTTTGTGCCATCTTTCTCCCCACAATCTCTTAATAAGCATGCCTGGTTTTGAAGCCAGCTGAACTAAATGAAAAGCACTAGAAAAAAGTGGGGAACAAGGACAGCTTTTCCAGGAATGGTGGACTGCAGACATACTTGAAATATTTTTTTTTCCTGCCGGCTCTATGCATGCTGATGGAAAATATCAACAACGCAGAGTTCTCAGAAACCATGAGAAAAGAAGGGCCTCGGAATCAACAAAACTCTTACCATGCCCACTTGAGTCTTGAATGAGTGTCGCATTGCTCGGTTTGTTCTTTGAACAAAATCAGAGTTTTGAGGATATTGGAAAATTACTGCTTCAATCACGTGGGTACCTTTGTCAGACTGGGTATGCCTCTAGTGAACAACAGAGTCCACAGACTCCCATCGTCAGTCCTCAAACTGAGAAAAAAATTGTCCGGCCTAAGCAGCATCTCTTGAGTCAGAAGGCCACACCCATGCCTTCATGAACTCATCTTCCATCCTCTCACTGCCCCGTGAAAGGGCTGTTCCCTTTCTCACTTCCAAGCGGGCATCCTAACATTCCCACGGATGGTCAGAACTGTGGTGCACACACCATGGCCAGACTATCAGGAAGCTCCTGTGATATCTGAGAATTTCCTTTTTACTAACATCATTATTTTTAAATTTTATCCTTTTCACTGAATTATAATTTATATACCAAATTAAGGGCTCCGTTTTGATGTCACTTGTATAACCACAACTATAATCAAGATATAGAATATCTCCATCACACCTTAAAAAAAAAAATTTCCCTCATGGCCATTTGTAGTCAACAACTCCACTCCCATCCCCACCCAAAGACCTGCTCCCAGTCAGCCAATATCCATTGTAAATTACTTTTGCATATTCTAGAATTTCTTTTTTTTTTTTTTTTTTTTGAGACGGAGTCTTACTCTGTCACCCAGGCTGTAGTGCAATGGTGCAACCTCGGCTCACTGCAGTCTCCACCTCCCAGATTCAAGCAATTCTTCTGCCTCAGCCTCCCGGGTGCCTAGGATCATAGGCATATGCCATCATGCCTGGCTCATTTTTTTGTGTGTGCTTTTAGTAGAGACAGCATTTCACCATATTTGCCAGGATGGTCTTGAACTCCTGACCTCAAGTGATCCACCTGCCTCGGCCTCCCAAAGTGTTGAGATTACAGGCATGAGCCACTGTGCCTGGCCCCAGAATTTCATATACATGTGCTCACTTAGCATTCACGTTGTTGCATGTATTTCCTTTTTATTGCAAAGCAGCATTTCATTTTATGGGTATCCACAATTTGTTTATCCATTTGCCTACTGAATGATATTCAGGCTGTTTCCAGCATGAGGCTATTTAATAAAGCTGCCATAAATATTCATGTACAATCTTTTTATGGCATGTGTTTTTGTTTCTCCTAGAAAAATTCCTAGGTCATACAGGCAGTGCATGTTAACTTAAGAAGAAACTTCCATACTGTTTTACAAAGAGACTGTGTCATTTTACATTCCCATCAGCAATGTGTAAGCGTTCTAGTCACTTCACATCCTTGTCAACACTTAGTATTGTCAGTCTCTTAGTTTTAATGGAGGTATAGTAGTATCTCATTGTGGTTTTATTCTGCATTTCCCTGGTGATCAGTGGTGTTGAACGTCTTTTCATGTACTTATTGGTCATTTGCATGGCTTTTGTGAAGTATCCAAATCGCTATACATTTTTACTTGGCTGTTTGTCTTCTTATTGAGTTACAACCATTCTTTATAGAGTCTGAATAAGTTCTTTGTCAAGTAAATGTAATGTGAATATTTTCTGGGATCAGTTTTGAACCTCCAGCAACTAGTCCTGTCACTGGCACACTATCACAGATGGCCAGGTCATATGGAATATGAGGATGTATTATTGACCAGGAAGCAGCATTTGTAGAAGCCAAGGCTCCAATTGTAAGCCCTTTGTAGAGAGTTGCTGAGTCCACACAGCCCCCTTCCATCTTTCCACAAAAGTCAAGGGGAGATGGTAAAAAGGGTCTGGGGAGTAATGGGTATTTGACACCACGGATTAAGCATTTGTCAATATTGGATTTACGGTCAAAATGAAGCCCAGTTGGATGTCAGATTTATTAAGCCAGATTGTGTATACATAGGTGTTTGTGCTCGCTTACAGATTCGTTCTGAGATCATCGCCACTTACGCTCTCTGTGGTTTTGCCAATATTGGTTCTCTAGGAATCGTGATCGGTGGACTCAGTAAGTGAAAAGAACATTCTTCAACAACACAGATGTGACATAGACGTACTTAGATCCCCATTTTGCTCTGTAAAGTTATTCATGTCAGAAAAAAACAAAGGGCTTTGCAACAGTCATGAGTCCTCTGGGGTCTGTTTTTTATCTCTACTCTGCAATATAGTTTTCCCATGCACACTCAAGTTGACCTCAGGAAGAATTTTCTCAAACATTTAGGTGCTTCTCCCAGCCCAGGGGTGACCTGTAGGCTTCGCCTTGCATGCCAATGCCGATAGATTTTGATGGGCACCTGGAGAAGGATTCTGAGAGCCATTGGAAGTCCAGTGGGAGAATGCTGTGATTTCTTAGTGGCATCTGCCATGGGCATAGAAGTGGGTGGTGACAGTTGAGTTGCCCATCATCTCCTTAGTCGATACCTCCTGCCACTCATTTGCCTTGCCATGTCCTCAATAAATAGCCCTTTGGATGAAACTTAGGAGTTGTTTCTTCTGTGCAGAATGAAAGCCTTTGAGCCTTTTGGCAAACAAGCCTCTTCCCTTCCTCCCACAGCAGAGAATTTCTCTATAGGTGGAGTTTATTACTAAGCTCTTGAATCTTGAATTTCCCGGCTAAGTTAAAGAAAAACAAAAAACCAGCTGACCTGAGAGTCCAGCCCCAGAACAATTTTCAGAGGCTAAGAGTTTGAATCAATACTTCAGCATTGATCTCATATCCCTCCCTCCATGTTTCCCAGCATCCATGGCTCCTTCCAGAAAGCATGACATCGCCTCTGGGGCAGTGAGAGCTCTGATTGCGGGGACTGTGGCCTGCTTCATGACAGCCTGCATCGCAGGTACTGCACCTTGTCCTTCGTGTCCCAGTGCCTACAGGATGAATGGCAGCTTTCAGGGCTGACAGCACCTCCAGTTTGCCTGTGCAGCACACACAGAAAGCTGAGAGTCAGAGCTGTTCTTAGGCATATTGTAATGTTTAATGTGTGCGGTGTGGTGGAGAAGCTAAGAACAGAACGAAGGTTCAGTGACTTCCTTAATTAACAAAATAAATGGGGTCAGCGCTGTGGCTCACAAAGTAATCCCAGCACATTGGGAGACCGAGACAGGCGGATCACCTGACATCAGAAGTTAGAGACCAGCCTGACCAACATGGTGAAACACCCTCCACTAAAAATACAGAAATTTGCTGGGCAAAGCCATAATCCCAGCTACTTGGAGGCTGAGGCATTTGAATTGCTTGAGTCTGGAAGGCGGAGGTAGCAGTGAGCCAAGATCACACCTCTGCACTCCAACCTGGGCAAAAGAGCAAGACTCTGTCTCAAAAATAAATAAATAAATCAAACAAACAAATAAATGAAATTTAAAAAACAAATCAATGAAATAAAATAAAATAAATGAGACTCTGTTCCACTTCTAGGCATACTCTCCAGCACTCCTGCAGACATCAACTGCCATCATGTTTTAGAGAACGCCTTCAACTCCAGTTTCCCTGGAAACATGACCAAGGTGATATCTTGTTGCCAAAGTCTGTTGAGCAGGTACTGTATTCTTGATTATAATTTCTTTATACTCCATTATTAACAATCAAATCAGACCTAAATGCCTTATCCACTTAATTTTAATTTTGTAAATCTATTGCATGCCAATGCCGATAGATTATGGTGGGCACCTGGAGAAGGATGCTGAGAGCCATTGGAAGTCCAGGGGTAGAATGCTGTGATTTTTTAGTGGTGTCTGCCATGGGCATAGAAGTAGGTGGTGACACTTGAGTTGCCCATCATCTCCTTCGTCGATACCTCCTGCCACTCATTTGCCTTGCCATGCCCTCAGCAAATAGCCCTTTGGATGAAACTTAGGACTTGTTTTTATAAAATTTATATATTTTATAAAATTAAGTGGATAAGGTATTTAGGTCTTCATGACTCTTCATAACTTTATCACTCTATCTAAAACTAAGAACTTACACAGTGACTCTAACCACCTTCCATTTTGACTTTTCTCAGATAAGACTAGCAACTATAATCCTAGCTCCTATAGTATTAGACTAGCAACTACAAATTAACAAATATAATTCAACTATAATTAATGTGTGTTAGGCACTTTGTATGAATTAGCTCACTTAAACCTCTCAACCCCTGTATAAGTTGGGCACTATCACTTTTTTTTTTTTTTTTTTTTTTTGCATTCCATAAAGTTAAGGTCTAGAGAAGCTATGTCTACTCCAGCAAAGTTAGCACAAGCACAAGTGAGATACAAAATTCAGGTCTATCTGCCCACTAAGCCTATGCCCTTAACTGCTGCCCTCTGCTGGCTGCCCTTCAAGGGGATCAAGGCTGCCCTGACAACAGGATGATCATCTGTGGTGAACAAGAAACCACATGACAAGAAACCACAGTGACCCATGACAGCCACCCCCACCCTGTACAGTTTCTATTTGCAAAATCAATGTTCCCACCCAAGATGCCATCCTTAATGTGCAAGTGTTTTATAAGGATTAATTCTATCTTCGCTTGTCATGGAGGAAATAGGGAAAGTTCTTGAGAACACCCAGAATTTAGAAGCCAAAATGAATTTCCTAGTGCCTCTGTCCTTTAATCCACCCTAACCGGAATGTAAGCGAGAAAATCAGCTTCCTGGCCTGAACTCTACTGTTTCTGCCACCTATGGCTCATGTAACTGTTTGTTTCCACTTCCCACCAGCACTGTTGCAAAGAGTCCTGGTGAAGTCATCCCAGGGGGAAACTACAGCCTGTATTCTTTGAAGGGCTGCTGCACATTGTTGAATCCATCAACCTTTAACTGCAGTTGGATCTCTAATACATTTTAAGGTCAGCCACTTCCAGTGGAACTGTAAGTACAGATGTTGACTTTTCTACTTTGGAGAGAGAAAAAAAAAAAAACTATTGTCCACAGACAGATACTTCCATTGCAGAATTAGCTTTAATTGCAAGGAATGAAGAAAAACAAGAGCGGACCTTCAGAGCTACAGCATCTTCCTCCTCCCCTTCCCTCCCCATGAGCCCCTTTCCCACTGAGAACTGCTATGATGTCCCAAAGTGAGGTGCCATTGTTTCTAGTCTCAATGGTATTTTCTGACTTTAATGTTTCCAAGGCATTTCACCAGAATACAGGTATGAATGGCAACTTGCAACAGCTGGGCTCTGACTCACCCACACCCACTTAGTTCCACTAAGTAGTCCAGGGTGACTCAGTTTAAGCACATCTCTGGTGAGATCACTCTGCATTCACCTTGGCTTACCAGAAATAGTCCGAACTTGAATCTCACATAAGGGAAAACCAGTCATCAATCACCTTCTCACTGCCTACCCTCAGGAAGTCCTGCAGAAATCAAGAGTCCTTGAGGAAAACATATGGACCATTCTGCTTAAGAGTTCTATCAGTCAGCTTAAGCATAATTTATGCTGCAGTAGCAAGCAACCCAAAAACCTCAGTGGCTTACAGATTTATGTTTTACTCGCATATTTGTAATGATGCGTGTTGGCTGTAATCCATGTTGTTTCAGGACCCAGTCTAAAGGAGCAGCCTCTAAGGGGGGTATGTTGGTCTTCAGAGAGAAAAGAAAGGTGGGAACCATATGATGGTTCTTTCATCTTCCACTAGGAAATGATACCCTTCACTTCCATGACATTCCATGGGCCAAAATAAGTCCTGTGACAGGCACGATGTCAGTCGCCACAGATAAATTATCCTGTCATAGGAAGGGATAGTGAATATTTTGCAGAAGTAATATGATACACCAAAAGCGTATATGACATCTGTGTCTCCCTTCCAGGAGCCATCCTATTGTAGGACATAACGGTAGGCCTTTTCACGTGCACATTTGGTAATGTATTCCTGATAACAAAGCAGCTACTTTTCAATCAAAAAGCCATGTAAGAATCAGCTGAGGGAAAAAAAAAAGTCCTGGTTGAGCTCTGAAAATTGCACTGATAATTCCATTGACCAAGAGGCGTCTGCATCAAACTTGAAGAATGGGTGTCCATGTCTAAGAAGAAAATTCCAGAGACAGTGGTAGTGTGTTCTTCAATGAAATGCCCATCACCACTGCTCTTAATAGCATAAAGACCACATGCTATGAGAAATCACAAAGGTCAATTACCAAGTCAAGAAACAGACACTGAATGTGAAAAAGGTTTTGAAAAATACCTTAAGTAATTTATTTTGTTTATATTTTTTCTTCTGTTTGTATACAAGAGTAATTTAGAAGAAAAATGTATGTGTAAATAGTTGGGGTTTTTTTGTGTTTTGTTTTTTGTGGTGGTGAAGGAGGAGGCTAAATGCCCAGAGAACTGTTTATCCCTGAAGTATGATACACTAAAATATTTCTCATTATTATTTGTATAAATTTTCCTTGGAACTCAGTGTTCCCTTGCAGTCTTCAGACGTTATTTTAATAAAATATATTTGCACATTTTCCCCCATTCTCAATGTTTGGTGTCCTGATTCATTACAGCCCATGGAATGTTAGGTATACGTATTATACCATTCCTCTGTGGACATGCATTTACTTTGTTTACAGGTTTTGGTTTGGGGATTCTCTTTTTCCTACTTTGGACAGTGCATGTACATTTACTTTGCATGCTGGTGCTTTTTTTTCCTATAGCAATGGTGTCTGAAAGACACATGCAAGTCACATGTAATTTAAGATCTAGTAGGCATGCTAAAAAAGTAAACAGGTAAAATTAATTTTAATAATATATTTAATCCAATATATGGGAGACATTTCAGTGAGCTATTTTTCATTCACATCAAACTAAGTCTCTGTCTGGTTTGCATAGCTCCGCTGAGACACTAAAGTTTTACTGATAATCCATGTTTAGATTTCATAAAATCTAAATCTGCAAAGTAAATTTACATACCCATGTTGGTCTAAATGTGCTTAACAATATTCCAATATCTGAAATGAGTATCAGTTTTAAATTTAAATAAAAATTTGTTACTTGGTTACTCCATGTTTCAGGTTACTAGTTGGCTACCATACTGGTCAGAGCAGTTTCATAGGGTGACTTCCAAAGGTGAATTGAAATGTGTATATATTTCTCGTATTCTAAAATGTCAGTTTGGTTTTTGGAGAAATACGTTTTCTGAATTTTTACTTGCTTGATTTTTACTTGATATGACCTTTCTGCTGTGTTTTATTCATCTACCTCTGTGTATATGTGTGACATTCCTTTATAAATGCAACATGTTCGCGTAGGTCCTACGCTGACTGCTTATTAATACTGTGCATCCTTGAACTGAGAAAGGGGATATTCCTGAGCTATATTATGAGAGAATAGTAAAGGCCAAGGACCAGGAAAATGAGCTGATTAAGCCACTTGAGCTTGTTGCCTCCAGAAACCTCATCAATACCCTGTGAACGTTATGAGTGGCCCTTCTCCCAGTGAAACAACCTAATGGACGTTTTTCGTACATGGTGATGTTTTCATTCCTCTTTAGCAGACATAGAAGCTAGAGGCTGCTGGGCGCGGTGGCTCACGCCTGTAATCTCAGCACTTTGGGAGGCCGAGGCGGGTGGATCATGAGGTCAACAGATCAAGACCATCCTGGTCAACATGGTGAAACCCCGTCTCTACTAAAAATACAAAAAATTAGCTGGGCATGGTGGCGCGTGCCTGTAATCCCAGCTACTCGGGAGGCTGAGGCAGGAGAATTGCCTGAACCCAGGAGGCAGAGGTTGCGGTGAGCCGGGATCGCACCATTGCACTCCAGCCTGAGTAACAAGAGCGAAACTCCGTCTCAAAAAAAAAAAAAAGAAGAAGAAGAAGCTAGAGGCTGCTTGTTTTCCCCAAATTCTCCTTCACTCACCCACCCATAGTGGGCAGAGATGGCGTGCCTATGTTTTTCAGCTGTTTGAGCCCACTCACTGCTGACAGGGTTGCTCTTGGTCTGTGCTCCCTGACCTTTCTTCAAGCCAGGGTTGTGACATCTCTTTGGGAGAAGTGTGTTCTCTGTCCAGTCCACTCATGAAATACAAAGCCCCTAGCCTCCTCTGTGTCTTCCCACAGTAGTTTTCCCTAACCTGAAAGCCCCTTTTTATACACAGAATCATGGTTCCAGATATGAGTGTTTCCTCATTTCAATGAAGATGGAAGTTTGCTTTACTGCTGCTTATTCTCCGGGTTGTTTTCTATTGGTTTGCAAAAAGTAGGGGAGAGGGGCAGAAATTGTATTCTCTTTCCAATCCAGAAACCAGTTATAAACAAATTCTCTAACCCTGGAGAGGCCGTAGGAGCTCAGCAAAGAATAGATTGGAGTCATGGGATATGGAACACTGTCTGATTTTTTTCCTCCCCATTGGTAAAGTCAACATATCCAAGCAGTTAGGTCCAAGTGACAGTCTCAGTAACTATGCAGATTACTAACAGGCATCCATTTTGCAAATGCTCTCACTTGATTGCTTTCATACTTCTGAAGTTTAATTAGGCTGGCAGGGCATTGTAAAGAGCTTAAGACATGCACTTGTTCAGTGAAACTGATTTCCAGTTACAGAACAATTCCAAAAATCAGGTATGCTTATAAAGAAAGTATTAAAAGCCAACAAGAACACAACGTGCCAGGAAGGATTAAACTACCCTGGCTGTACTGGAACAGGACAAGGGGAGGCAATCATTCACATTTTAAACAGGCTAGGAGTGCAGAACTCAATAACTGTCTTTCGTACAGGTATACCATATGGTGTTAATGAACCATATGGTCCTAAGAAAGACTACGCTTTACAGCCTATTACTTAATTTTGTTTTAAGTTCAAGCAGGAAGGAAAGCATACACTTTTCTTTTTCTGGCTCCAAAAACTACACAGCCCTTGTGATAACAATGATATTTTCCTTTACATCACAAAGGCAATGTGAGTGCCTCTTGGTTATAAAATGAGTACTTTCTTTCAACCTGGTTATTAGTGGGCTATTTTGCATTTTCATTTCAGGAGACTCTGGAGATTAAACAGCGAACCTACATCAAGTCAGCCCTTCTTAACCATTATGTGTTTTGCAAAATGGAAGGACGGTGACTGGTATTAGGGATATAGCCTGTAGCCACAGAATAGAAAAAAGGGACAACGTTGAAATTTAGTCAAACCCACAGATCACTATGGCCAAGAGCAGAGTTGGGGCAGTATTCTCTGGTCTAAAGGAAATCCTTTCAACTGCAGGGTACCTATCTCATTCCATGATTATTTGCCCATATGCCTATCTAACCTCTAGAATGCTAGTTCTTATGTATCTCCAGTACCTAGTACCTGGCATTCAGTAGACATTCAGTAAATATTTGTTTAACCTATGAATGAGTGAAAACGAGGACTGCAAAACAGCTAACTTTCACACAAGCAAGAACAGTTAACTGGCTAACTTACAGAATCTCATCAAAAACGCATACTTGTCTTAAACGTTGCAAACTGAGAAACTGAAAATCTTCCTCTCATCTTAATCTTATTTTCTATAGTCAGTCACAGTTAATATTTTGATGTCCCTGTGAATTTCTCTCTATATATAATAAACAATACAGTAAGTTATAACTATAAGAACGGAGTGGATGAGTCTTCTCTCTAGCCCAGGGGCTGAATCACTTTCACAGTTTCCGCTTCCTCCTGGCAAATCATTTTGATTGTCTTATAACATCAACTGTGTTGCACAATGATTAGCAAACAAAGTTCAGGAGATCGGTCTTCTTGATCATCTGCATTGCAAGCCAACAATTTATTAGTGTTAACTATGCTGAAGCTAAATTTATTAGAAGAATCCTAATGCCCAGCATGAATAGATATGTCAATAAGTGTAGCTGGATTCTTTCTGTTCATATGAGCAATTGCTCTGCTATCATATTTGGAAAAGCTCTTATAGGAAACTGAGAACAAGCTGGTTGCTACTTCTAGCAGGTATGGAGGTGTGATCCTGCAGCCAAGAGCCCAGCTCTGTAGCTGAACTGCCAGGGCTCAAATCTTGGCCCCACCAGTACCTGGCTCCGTTACCTTAGAAATTTATGTAACTGCTCTGTGTCTCAGTTTCCCCATTTGTAAAATACAAATAAACATACTTCTCCCTCATATTTTTGTGAGTATTATAGCACTTAAAAGAATATCCCACATAGAAAAGCTATCAAATAAATTCTTTTTCTTCACTGAGATATAATTTATGTATGTAAATGTACAGATTCTATGTAAACAGTTTGATGCATCTTGACAAATGTGTACACTCACATGGCAATCACCCTCGTCCTTAGAAAGTTCTCTAGTATCCCAATCTCACCCCATCCCTCCAGGCAAGCCTGATTAATTTGCTTTCCCCCATACATTAGTTTAGATAGAATTTCATATAAATTGAATTATACAATGCATGTTCTTTTGTTCCTTGCTTTTCTCACCCAGCATAATGTGTATGTTTTATCCAGTAATTTGTTCTGTCTTTATTGCTGAGTGGTAGTTCACTGTATGAATATACCATGATTTATATATCCATCTACTCTTGATGGACATTTAGATTGCTTTTGGTTTTTGCAGAATATTTGTTTTTTAAGAGCTTTTATTTTCCACACATCCTTCAGGCGTTTCAGCATATTTTAAGCTCTGGAAATATGAATTCGAATGTGCAGGTGTGGTTTACCCACATGGTAGTTTGTTTCCTATGGCTCTTTCTCCCTCCTCATCTTCAGAGCCTCTTATTTGTTGTTCTTCACAGGGATTTGGAAGATTGTTGGCTTCAGGCCACAAAATGGGAGACCAGTGAGGAGTGAGTCTCAAAAGGTAATAACAGGGCAGCCAGAGCACCGTGAGGTCACTGGTGGTTGAATAGGATTTGATTAGCCTGGCCCTGTGCCACATAACTGCCCTTCACGGCATTTTGAGAAAAATCACTCGGCTTTTCTTAGTCTTCAATAAAAGTAAGAGTTACATTCGCATTTGACTTCATATGTTATATACAGGAACATGAATGAAAAAATAAGAAATGTAAAACAAAACACTTGGAAGTTTGAAAGTAGTGCAAGAAAGCCTGGTGCAGGTGAGCGTTGAGCTCTGCTCACTCTGAAACCGATTTTGCCTCAAGCAGCTTGCAGGTTAGAGAAGCGTCTGTTGGCTGAAAATTTTGTTATTCAGTGGCTACAATAAATGTAATCCCATTTATGGAAAAGGTTGGCGAGTTCTTGAAGGCACTTGTGCGAAACAAAGACCCTAATTCTCTTCAGAGTTCACCCATCGAAACTCAACCCCGCAGCCCGTTCTGACAAGGATATCTCGAGTTGAGGATTATTTGCTGTCTTTAACCGTCCATTTATCAGTGTCCGGCCCAGGAAATCAGTTTATGCAGAAAGTGAGGGTCTCTGCCGCTACTTAAACCAAATGGAACTAAACAGAAGGAAACAATTTGTTCTCGGGACTCAGGAGGGTCCTACATCGCACTCTGATTCGACTACTCTGTTTCCATAGTAACA